GCGAGCGGGTAGCGTTGTACTCTTGGGTGCTGTTGGCGGGAACTGTCGAGTACGCGATAAGCAAGAGCGAGAAGTAAGGAAAGGAATTTTCCGTACAAACCCCCAAGGGTGACCCGGAGATATTGGAACCAAACCACATCGAGAAGGAAAGTAGGTTTGGTTTTGTGGTGATGATGAACCTGTGATGGGAAGACGACCCGCCCAGAACTACAGTGCACCTTCGTGCCCACATGGAAGCTGCAACGAATGGTAGTGAACAGAGACACCTGAACCAACATCAGCGCCACATCTGGAGAGATTACCGACAAGACATGTCGCAGCTACACCCCCAGAACGAACCAACCATTACAGGGCCGTGAAATGTCAGCTCCACAGGTTACTCTGCTCACGAAGCTTGCTGGGGCTTTTCGCTAACGAGGTTTGTCAAAGACCAGCAGCACCAACTATTGGAAGCTTGGCATCAGAAATCCCTCGCTATTGGAAGAGCTGCGTGGCGAACTGCTACAATCACAACGGCCACCTACCTTCATTACGCGGCGCGAGTCTGGTGTTTTTTGTAGAGCACCTACTGTACCGCTACCACTCAGACCACGCCCCCTCCAGACCAGACCTCTCCTGCCATTGGCCCAAAATGGCCCTCCCCTCGGTAAAGACACTCCTACTTCCACCTTTTATCCTGACCGCATGCGATGCCCATTATTTCCGTAGTTATCACTACTATGGCACGATCGGCGCCGGACTTCAGCTTCGCAATCGAGCAGTTCCTTCGTTCCTAATCCGCAGCGACGTTCATCAGCTGTACTAGTTTCCATTAGTAGCGCCAGGATTCAGCTTCGCGATCGCGATCAGCTTCTCGGCTCGCGAACAATTTCGCGAACGGCGAAGTTCTCTCACCTGAAGTAACCTGCCATGATGTTATCGTCACGTTCTCGCCGTCACGTATCACGATCGCTTCTGGCGACCGCAGCATCATTTCTAGTCCTTGCCACAGTAATACTCCCGCCGCGAGTTCTTTCCTTCCTATTCTCAATTGTCCAGGCCGTACACTCGATGCAAGCTGTCGCTCAGCACAAGGCTGTCGCTCAATTTAGAGACTGTCGCTGGGAACACAATTGCTGGCGCTCAACGCGGCAGGCTGTCGCTTAACGCAATGTTGTCGCTCATCGCAAGGCTGTCGCTCAGCATTGAATGCTCTGTCGCTCAAACCATGCAGTCGCTTCGCAATGCTGTCAGGAGTCGGCGCAATCCCGGCCCGTCGCTCACAAATCCTTTTTTTTAGGCGCCTCATTACCATTCACGCTGTTTCTGTTTCTGTTTCCACCTTCCCACTGATCCTATCTAGTAATCCCTACCACGTTGTCGTCTGCTTCTTCCTTCCCCACTGATCGCTGCTCTTTTCGTACCCAACATTACCTATCTCACACATGCCTCCTTTCAGGAAAATTCGCCAACCCCCCCTTTCATCCAGCCCTCAACTACCCCACCGCCCAACACGCCATGATATTTCTTTGTCCTCGCAGGTGCTCCAGTCGCGTCTGACTATAGCGGGGACAGATTCGTCCCCCGCCCACGTGGACTTTGAGTATTCGGACACGCTCTGTGGCACGGCATGGCGGGACGACTACGTCCGCCTGCACTCCGCCATTCGCTCCGCCAGTGCCGCCGCCTACACCCCGCCTCCCTCTCCCCCTCCCCTTCCCTCCTCCCGCCGATTGCTCTCTCTCGCAAATTCCCCATCACTGCTACCACCAACCGTAGCAGCAGCAGTCCCAGACCCAAGCCTGTCAAATCAGGCCCTCCCGGCTTCCTCCGTCCGCTTCCTCACCTTCGACGAGCACGGGCACTGCGGCGGCTTCGGGGACTTTCTAGTGGGCGTCGTCTCCTCCTTTGTCGCTGCACTTTTAGACCGCCGGGCGTTTGTGATCCGGCACGACTGCGTGCAGTACGCGTTTGAGCCAGCCTTCATCGACTGGCGCCCGTCCCCTGATGTTCCCATGGAGCCTTCCCGGCGCACTGGTAACCTGAACGAGTCTTTCCCGCCGGGGGTGGTTCCGTTTCTGGACTTGAACGGGAATCGGGTGGATTTGCAGCAGCTGGCGAAGTTGAAGGCGTTTCGGAACGTGAAGGTGCTGTGGAACCGGGGGATTCTGACGGAGATGCTTACAACGAGAAAGGGCGAGTGGGCCGATGCACTCAGGGCGACCGGGCTGCGCCCACCGTATGCCTTCGGCTGCATTCTCCGATTCCTTGTCAGGTACACCTCACCGTCAGGTACACCTCACCGTCAGGTACACCTCACCGTCAGGTACACCTCACCGTCAGGTACACCTCACCGTCAGGTACACCTCACCGTCAGGAACACCTCACCGTCAGGTACACCTCACCGTCAGGTACACCTCACCGTCACGTGCACCTCACCGTCACGTGCACCTCACGGTGAGGTACAGCTCACCGTCAGGTACACCTCACCGTCAGGTACAGCTCACCGTCAGGTACACCTCACCGTCAGGTACACCTCACCGTCAGGAACACCTCACTGTCAGGTACACCTCACCGTCAGGTACACCTCACCGTCAGGTACACCTCACCGTCAGGTGCACTCCCATTGGTGGTGATGCTGGTGCATGTGCGGCTGACCACTGACATCTCTCCCCCTTTCCCCTTCTCCCCCCGCACCCTTCCCCCCATCTTTCCCCCTCTGCTCCACCTCTCATACATCCCCCAGCCCCCACCGCAGGCCCAGGAAGGAGGCATGGCTGCTGGTGGCGCGGCTGCTGCAGGAGATGCAGGAGGTGCGGAGACTGGTGGTGGGGGTGCTCGCGCAGCTGAGCAATGACATCTCCTCTCCCGCTCTCCTTTTCCCCCCCTCTTTCTTTTCCCACAACCTTTAACCACCCCTTGCCCCTCACCGCAGACCCAGGAAGGAGGTGTGGCCGCTGGTGGCGCGGCTGCTGCAGGAGATGCGGGAGGTGCAGACGGTGGTGGTGGGCGTGCACGTGCGGCTGAGTGACAGTGTGGTGCGAGACCCCCACGCCACCACCAGCAGCGTCACTCCCGCCTCCATGGCTGCTGCTATGGAGCACGCTGCTCCCATCCTTGCCTGTGCCAAGGTGAGATAGGATCAAGGGAGGGAAATCACCATAAAGACCGACTCACGGATGAGCGACAGTGTGGTGCGAAAGTGACCCCCACGCCACCACCAGCAGCATCACTCCCGCCTCCATGGCTGCTGCCCTGGAGCACGCTGCTCCTATTCTGGCCTGTGCTAAGGTGAGAACCCTGAGCCCTATTGCCTATCACTCGCGAAAACGTTGCCTCTAGAAATGTGTCACCATCATCCCACAATCATCCCACCATCATCCCACCATCATCCCACCATCATCCCACCATCGTCCCACCATCATCCCCCCATCATCCCACCATCGTCCCACCATCGTCCCACCATCATCCCCCCATCATCCCACCATCGTCCCACCATCGTCCCACCATCATCCCACCATCACCCCACCCCACCCCACCCCACCATCATCCCACCATCGTCCCACCATCACCCCACCATCATCCCACCATCATCCCACCATCACCCCACAATCATCCCACCATCACCCCACCATCATCCCACCATCATCCCACCATCATCCCACCATCGTCCCACCATCGTCCCACCATCACCCCACCATCACCCCACCCCACCCCACCCCACCCCACCATCATCCCACCATCGTCCCACCATCACCCCACCATCATCCCACCATCATCCCACCATCACCCCACAATCATCCCACCATCACCCTACCATCATCCCACCATCATCCCACCATCATCCCACCATCGTCCCACCATCACCCCACCATCACCCCACCCCACCCCACCCCACCATCATCCCACCATCGTCCCACCATCACCCCACCATCATCCCACCATCATCCCACCATCACCCCACAATCATCCCACCATCACCCCACCATCACCCCACCATCACCCCACCATCACCCCACCCCACCATCATCACCCCACCCCACCATCACCCCACCCCACCATCACCATCACCATCACCATCACCCCACCATCACCATCATTCCACCATCACCCCACCATCACCCCTCCCCCATTTCCCCACCAGGCAGTGGAGGATATGTGGTATCCCCCGCCTCTCACTCCACGGTGGATGCTCATCACATCGTCTCACCATCGCTTCTTCCTCCCTCTTTCACTCCGCCAGGCAGTGGAGGACATGTGGTACCCCCCGCCTCTTACCGTGCGCTGGATGCTCATCACCAACTCCATTGACTTCAAGATGGCCATCCGGTCACATTTTCCCGGCAAGGTCAGTGCCTCTGCTCTCTCTTACAACTTCAGCAGGTGGGTCCCTCTTTTTCCATCAGGGTTGGATGCTCATCACCAACTCCATCGACTTCAAGATGGCCATCCGCTCGCACTTTCCCGGCAAGGTCAGTGCCTCTGCGCTTTGCTAATGAATACAACGAGTTTCTTAGGAGTTAGAAAGTCATATCAGAGATGGATGCTCATGCTCATCACCAACTCTCTATCGAATCGACTCCAACATGGCCATTCGATCCCACTTCCCCGGCAAGGTGAGCGCCTCGATCCCACTTTCCACTTGTGTTCTAACTCTTGCAACTCCTGCTACCACATGGTAGAGGCATCCATATTAAGCATCCATATCGACCCATCTCTTCACCTTTTTCTTCACGAATGAGTGCATCTTGTGTGCATGCTTAGGCAACGTGAGCGCCTCTTCTTTCTGTGTCTTGTCACTCCTGCTACCACATGGTAGAGGCATCCATATCGACTCATCTGTTCACCTTTTCTTCACGATGACTGCACCTTTGCTCCAACTTTCCGCTTCCGATTACCCACTCCCTATAGCCCACCTCTCCATTCCTCGTAACCCACCTGCCCACTCCCAATAGCCCACCTCTCCACTCCCCATAGCCCACCTCTCCACTCCCCATGGCCTACCTGTCCACTCCCCATAGCCCACCTCTCCACTTCCCATGGCCCACCTGTCCACTCCACTCCCCATAACCCACCCAAGTACTCTTCCTCCATTCGTGTGCTCCCCATGGTTTCAACAGATACTCGAGACAAATTTCGTGCCGCGGCACTCACAGGCATTTGGGGACAAGGACACGGAGCAGGCAAAGAGGGAAGCAGAGCAGGGCTACCGAGAGATGGTGGCCGAGTGGCTCTTGCTGTCGTCTAGCAACTCCTTTGTTCTGCCGATCTCAGGGTTTTCGCGCACAGCTTCTATGTATTCTCTAAGACCAATGGCTATTTACACGCCCCCTCATTATTGCGACCCGGAACAGCCACATAAGCTTACGGATTTTGGGATTGCATACAGTGGGATTTAAGCTACCCTCTTTTGTATTATATGATATGATCAGGCCCTCAGATGATGCTCTATTAAAACACTGGAGTACCACTGCACTCGTGCACAAGGAGTGCTCAAATCAAAACGTAATACGGTACAATAATTAGGGCTGGGAAATCCTTAGAGGAGGTTTGAGACGTCTAAAACAATGTAGTGCAACGATGAGTAGGACTGGGGTATCCTAAGTGGAGGCATTCGAACAAACGCCACTGTGCTCTACGCCAAGATTGGTTGCAACCTTTGGTGTTTCTGGTTTTGGGTCTCTACGTTCGGGAGGCGTTTCCAGTTGGCCTTAGGAGAAACATGGCAGAAACACACAGCTGCTAGACAGTGGGAGGCTTGGTTGGTGCTCTTCTGACATTTGAAGGTTTATGCTGGTACAGAAATAATCCCGACAACCCTCATGCGAATACATCCAATCCAATGCTTGGGGCAATAAAACCAGGGATTGATTTTACAAGCTCAACATGTTTCTAACAGAATTATATGCCACTGTATGCCACACCAAAGTCTGTTTGCAGATGCGGCTGTTCCGGGTCGCAGTAATAAGGCGGCGTGAAAAGAGCCATGGCATTCAGAGAATACATAGCAGCGGTGCGTGAAAATCCTGAGACTGGCAGAACAAAGAAGTTGCTAGACGACAGCAAGAGCCACTCGGCCACCATCTCTCGGTAGCCCTGCTCTGCTGCCTCCTTTGCCTGCTCCTTGTCCTCGTCGCTGAATGACTGGGAGTGGTGAGGAACGAAATCTGTCTCGAGTAGCTGCAGCAGTCATAGGGAGTACACGGGTGGGTAGGTTACAGGAGTGGAGTGCGCAGGTGGGTTATGTGGAGTGGAGGGTTGGAACGAGGAGGCAGTGGATGGGTAAATTGATCACTGAGCTTGCAGCTTGCAGTTGAGCTCGCTCTCTCAAGCTGCAGGCCCTCATGAACAGTCAAGGGTGAAAGCACTCATGAACAGTCAAGGGTGAAAGCACTCATGAACAGTCAAGGGTGAAAGCACTCATGAACAGTCAAGAGTGAAAGCACTCATGAACAGTCAAGGGTGAAAGCACTCATGAACAGTCAAGGGTGAAAGCACTCATGAACAGTCAAGGGTGAAAGCACTCATGAACAGTCAAGGGTCAAAGAACTCATGAATAGTCAAGGCTGAATGAATAGTCAAGGTTGTCTACTTTAGAGGCGCCTCAAAAGTGGAATGAGGAGGCAGATGGATGGGTGATCAGTGAGCTTGCTCTCTCGAGCTGCAGGCACTCATGAATAGTAACGGGTGAATGAATGGGTCACTACAGAAGATCCTCCTACTGGGTGGTTGTTACTGCAATATTATAATAGAATGTGATGTGAGCCAGTAGGTTCAAAACACTTGAGCTTCAACCACTGATGATTAGTGAAGGCTGAAAGGATGGGTCACTACAGAAGATCCTCCTACTGGGTTTGTGACACTATAATAGAAGCCATTTCGCTCAAAACACTCGAGGTGGCACAATCTGTAGTCGACTTTTGAGACGTCTCAAAATTGGCACAATCTGTAGTGCCATAAGCAGTCAGAAATAGCTAGGAGAGTTGCTTTCGAGGGGCGGAAAGCAGAGGCACGCACCTTGCCAGGGAAGCGGGACTGGATGGCCATCTTGAGGTCGATCGAATTGGTGATGAACATCCACCGCACTGTGAGAGGCGGGGGGTACCACATGTCCTCCACTGCCTGGTGGAGAGAAAGGGGGGCAAAGGGGGTGAGGAAAGGGGGCGAGAGTGGTGGTGTTGAGATGACGGTGTGAATATGTGACGAGCATCCACTGCACTACCACATCTCCTCCACTGCCTGGCAGACCGAGAAAAAAGGGAGTGGGTGAGACGGGTCAGAGCTGCTTAGGTCGCACGTTGCCATCTTTGACCTAGACTATGATGCTATCCTTGCTGCTATGTATGCTTTGTCTGTTATTTTTGAGGGTGACTGTTACCTGTGTGTGCCGCCTGACCCAGGTATAGAGGCTGCTGCTCTAGGTGCTGGTGAGTCTGCTCTCCCTGGTACTGCGCCTGCCGAGGCCTTGCACACCTTTACATTTGACTCAAGTGCTTCACGCTGTTTCTTTCGCGACAGCACCACCCTCACTCCTCTCTCTGCACCTGTACCGGTCAGACTGGGTGACCCCTCCGGGGGCCCAGTCCTTGCCCGTTCCTCCACTGTTCTCCCGTGTCCGGCGGTTCCGTCCGGCTCACTGTCAGGCCTTCACCTCCCCTCGTTCTCTACGAACTTGGTGAGTACCGCTGCCCTCCAGGACGCGATGGTCACTACCACCACTCCTGGGGGTCAGCGTGTGTCGATCTGCACGTGTACACGGACGGGCCATCACCTGGCCACATTCACACATCGGCCAGGGTCGAGTCTGTACACATTGGCTACTGAGCCTCCTCAGGTAGCTGCGTCTGCCCAGGTGTCCGCGTCAGGTCCGGTAGTACCCCCTTGCTCGTGTCGCCTCCTGTCACACCAGACTCTCCTGTGGCACCACCGCCTTGGTGCTGGTTCTGGAGACACTGGACGGCTCCGACCGTACTTCGTTCCCCTGCTTCAGCAGGTTTTTGGTCTCATGTCTTCTACCGGCCTCACTCCTCCCTTACTGTGTCCACCGCCTGACCAATCGCAGCCGCCACTACAGCCAGCCTCCCCACTGCCTGCTCCTTCTCCCTAATCTGAGCAGACCGGAGGTCTTACAGAGCGTCGTGAGCCTGTGTCTCGTCCTGCCTTGCCTGTTCGCGCTTTTCGCACTGGTCGTCGTGTTCCTCGTCCACGTCCTCCTCCTGTCCCCGACACACACCATATGGCACTTCGTCCTTCCACTGTTCCACGCGCGACCGTATGATTGCGCGTTGAGCGACAGTATAATTGCGTTGAGCGACAGCCTTGAATCAACTAGCTGATTTAGCATGATCATCGGGATGACTGACGCCGCCTAATAAAAAGGAAAGCAATATTGTCGATTTTCTGCTGTTTTTTTTCCTAGGAGGAAATTATTATGTGAAGGCGGGAGCATACAATGGACAAAGGTTTGATATAGGTCTATTTTGACAGGGTTGTGATGAGTCGACTCAAGCTAAATCGATTTTGAGAAGGTGTCGGGAGCATACAATGGACAAAGGTGTGATAAGTCTATTTTTGAGTCGACTCAATAAAAAAAAAAATGAGAAGGCGGCGGGAGCATACAACGGACAGGGCTAGCATCAACGTCGCTGTCGACAGTCCTACTAATGATACGCCGTGAAGGCGAGGGCGTGGTGGCGACGTCATGGCAGGTCCTGTACTTCAGAAGATAAATTTGCCGCCGGTTCGGAGGGGCCCGCTACTAATCAATATTTTTTGGGCTTGAAGCTGATCGCGGCGATCGCGGAAATGCTGGTATACTAGTTTGACATCTCAAGCGGCGGTGCGAGATGATAACGCGCAGCCTCAACGGCAAAAAGGTGCACGATGTACAGAAATAGCATGTGTTGAATAAAACACCAGGATGATAGAATTTACGTCCCAAAAATCGCAAGGGCCCAACTCACCGAAGGATACCTCGGGGTACCACTCAGAAACTCCCCACGATGTATGCTCGGACTTCTCTCCATGCTCCAGGTCTGCTACATTAGGACGGCATGGGAACATACAAGCGCATGGAAAGGGGGAATGGCTGCTTCGAGTTAGGGAATGAAGGAATCAGGGAATTGGTCAACTAGGGGCAGATCATCACAGCGATGTCAGGCTGGAATTCGTCACACATTACAGTTCTTGTATCGTGCGTGGCTCGGGACGGTGCTACACGGCGGAAAGCGGTTCTCAATTCTACCGTTTCGCACCATGACCAAACGAATACGACCACAGGGAGCGTACAGAAGTTGTGCAACCTGAGTTGTCGGAAATTTCTCGCCATAGTAACTTCAGTATGAACCAGCAAATTGCAAACCAGTCTTCTCGCTACTGTTGTCACTGACCCTTCTTTCGAGTCCGCTGCTGCGTCTGCCCTCGTCACTGAGATTGTTGACTTTGCTGCAATTTGTCGTCTTGACTACACTACTGCTCTTGTTGCTCAGTCTGAGTCTGCCTGTCCTCCGTCCGTCGGGGGTGAGTGTGCTCTTGGCACGGACGTCCTTGAGGACAGGCAGGAGGACTTTGAGTGATTTGCAGCTGCTGTACCTCATCTCGTGTCCATGCTGATTGCATCTGAGGGAGACCCGGATGCGCCAGACATCCCGACCCCGCGCTCTTACGCAGAGGCGATTACGGGTCCCTACTCGTCTCAGTGGCAGACAGCCATGGACGCAGAGATGGCATCCTGGAAGTCCACAGGCACTTACGTCGACGCAGTTCCCCCTCCTTGGGCGAACATAGTCGATGGCATGTGGATTTTCAAGGTGAAGCGGCCGCCTGGTTCTCCGCCTGCCTTCAAGGGTCGTTACTTTGCACGAGGCTTCAGTCAGCGACAGGGAGTTGAGTTCTTCCATACCTTCTCCCCTACCCCGAAGATGACTACTCTTCGAGTACTGCTGTACGTCGCCGCTCAGCGTAACTACGAGCTTCACTCTCTTGACTTCAGCACAGCTTTCTTGCAGGGCAGCCTGCACGAGGAGATCTGGCTGCGCCGCCCACCTGGCTTCACTGAGTTGTTTCCTGCAGGTACCTAGTGGAGCCTCCGCCGGCCAGTCTACGGTCTCCGCCAGGCGCCTCGCGAGTGGCACGACACACTGAGGACGACGCTCGCGCCTCTTGGGTTTGCTCCTTCTACTGCTGACCCGTCGCTGTTTCTACGCACCGACACTTCGCTGCCGCCGTTCTACATCCTCGTGTATGTCG